GTCATAAACAGTGGCGTTCGTGCATCTCAATTTATTTTCAACCTTAGACTACTGAACTTCTCCATTTTCTGTTCGACTCCACTTTCATTTTTCATTCTTCTCCTATTCTTCATTCAAATGGGCAGCCAAAAGACAGCAACCAAAACCGGCACACGAATATGCGTGGTTGCTGGTTGTACAAACTGATATGAACTCACCCAAGGGAGTTGGCTGAAAACTGTGATTCTAAATCAACCAAGAAGAGGCGTAAGAACTACACGCACACCTTCCTGGTCGTGGCAGTGGTCCCCGGCTCCATTGGGCATCGAGGTGTATTAGGCACCTTGGACGTTTGACCCCGTCCAAAGGTCTTATGATACAGTAAACTGGACACCGCCCCCCAATGAACTTCGGACTCAGCTCCGTCCTGTTGTCTAACAGGTCTGGCTTTCTAGCCAAATGCTTCGGGTGGGGACCCCGAGGCTATCCCCCTTCCTCGGCCAGGGCAACCGGGAAGTAAAATGTTCACAACCTATGAACACATTCTTCAAATTTCTCTCTGTTCATATGTTGTGGCACATTTTCCATTTCTCTGTAATTGGTTACGTGTTGAAATAAAAAAATTACATAAAAGGCAAGTACTGCCGGTTGATGCGAAACACCCTTCCAGAGTGGAGGGTGACCGGAAAATAAGTTATCTCGTTAGGGGAAGGTCGGTATTCGAGGTGATTTGTCCCCATCGGCTTTCCGAAATAGAGGTTCATCTGTAATCTTACAGTTGACAAACCTCCTGGGTTCAGTACGTGTAAATGAACATGTTCCATCTAAATTTTGAGTGAATCTTGTTATTTACACGAAGGACTACAGATTCTGTTGTGAAACCACAGAGGAATAAGTTTGAGCAATATCTTCTCAAAGCTTCCTGCTGGCACTCCTCCGTTGATTGTCTGTTGCGCATAAAGACCCTGACCAGAAAACTTGGACTCACAGGTCAAAACGGGTTTCTCGATGGTCGGTGCAGTTAATGGTTAAAAGCACTGAGCGATATGGCTGAGGGCCGAAAACAGTGGTACTCTTCATCCTCCCAATATCTTCCCAGATTTAGTTTGACTTCTTTGCACAAGTTTTCATACGTTAATTTTATTACAGCTTCTTTTATGGCTCAAGTCAAGGTTTTACATTGAATATCAGGCTGTGGCTATCGTGTTTTAGTTTTTTTTTGCGGTGTGTTTGGATTTTTATGTCGAATATCAAGTCGAGGTTACAGGCACTCCCAGTGTTGAGTAAGATGGTGGTGCAGTGGTTGAGTCTCTGTCGCCGGTGTGCTTTGGACCCCATGGTTCGAGGTTCTAGCTCCGCCACCACCGCCCAACTTTGGTGGTAGTTAGCTTTGCTACCGTCCGATTCAATACCACGCCTAACCTAGCGGAGCCTTATGTGGTTCGCTACTCGAAGTCCCGGGGCTTAGGTTACCGGTTTCCATCATTGAACAACGGGTCCTCGTGACTGTAGAGCTTTCCCCGTATCCTGTTTATCACACTAATGTGCAATAAAAAAGAATCCCGCATTCTCCTGTTGCGTGGTTGTGAATAGTCTGTATATATTCGAGTTTTGGTGTGACGTAAATTTGAATTGATCAATACATGTGTTCGCCGACCAGCCTTCCCAATACAGTACAATCTACATTTTCTCTTTCGTGGGACCAGTCTTCGATATCTAACCTCACTGTATGCACCCCGGTTTGCTAGTTATCCCATTTTTCTTGTAGCCGAATATGTCCTACTCACCATGAATTCCTATCATGTAGACCCTACATCACCCCAGCAGTCAACTGAATTTTACGGCAGGAAATTTATCTACTTGGGTGATTCAAACTATAATGAAGAGAAGCCTTCGTTGCGGATCATGCAGTGGAATATCCTTGCCCAGGGTAAGTTGGCATCTAGTTCCAGTTCGTTATTTCCAACCCTCTAGGTTTCATTCCTCTAGATGAATTTGTTCATTGTCCCAGTGTACTTTTGGATGTGGATACGCGCAGCGCCCAAATCGCGGCTGAAATTAATCGCTTCACTCCAGATGTCATATGCCTCCAAGAGGCTGATATTCATGAACTCATCATTCGACAACTAAATACGACTCGTGATATATACGAATTACAATTTCGACCGAAAGAAAATTCTCCGTGTTTAGGTATCCCGGGTAACATGGGGCCCGATGGAGTGGCCATTATTTTTCGGTAAATTAATCCTAATTCGCAAACATTCACATGTTCAGATCAGACCGCTTTGTTCTAGTTCGTTGCGAGGACTTACCACTTGACGAAGCAAGTGGTCGTACTGCCTTGTTATGTACCCTGAGACCAAAGGATCCCAAGCTTTTTGAGCAGTTCCCGCTGATCTATATAGTCTCAGTGCATTTAAAGGCTAAAGTACATTTTTCGGCGGTCAGATTGAGCCAGGGCACCTTTTTGTGCAATGCCCTCCGCACGCTTTCCAACCGGGCACGAATGAACAACAGTTCCATTCCCCCACTGTTTGTTTGTGGTGACTTCAACGCAGAGCCTCATGAGCCCGTGATTCAACTTATGCAGGATATGGCCTGTCCTCACGGTTGGGAGTTGCGAAGTGTGTATTCCGAGGCCTATGGAGGCAGTGAACCAGATTACACTACGTGGAAAATTCGCAGCGGGAGAAGACTGGCTGAACTAGAAGAGGCATGTCATACAATTGACTACATTTGGTATTCTTCGAATGTGCTGAGGCCTCTAGGTGCATGGTCTCTTCCGACTAAGGAAGAAATTGGCCCCCAGGGTCTTCCTTCAACAATTTTTCCTTCAGACCACCTGAATCTCGTGGCTGATTTTGCGCTGGAGCGCGTAACGGCGACTTAACTTTATCCAGGTAGGAAAGATCTTTTATGTGCACGCGTGTATCTTACCTTCAATCGAGATGAGTCACTGATTTTCTAGTCAGTACCCAATGTAAGATGATAGAAAAGTTATTCAATTTCAGAACTCTCGGTAATTCTATCATTAAAAGAAATCTCGTGTGGCTTGGTTACAAGGGAAAACTTCGAACGAAGCTTCTGGTAACTAAAGTTCTTTTTTTGTGCACCTGATGTCATTGTCGGAGTTTTGAAGTTTGTACGTTAACTGTTTATCGTAGAGGCTAGACTTTCTAACAAACAAAAATGAAACAGTTTCTCTCTTTTCGTTTCATTTTACTTCCTTTCATTAAATACACAATGATACGATTTTCAGGAAGGGGGAAGCGGCCAATCAAAAGACTGCCATATAATACACAATGGGGAAAGTCAGGCGGTGGTGGTGGGATTCGAACACATTCCCGAAGAGATAATTTAGTGACGTTACCACCAAAAAGCATTTGCTACTTCTTTTGTTTTTATTTTGATGGGGCACCGATTTTCAATCGACTAACCTTTTAGTATTTGCGCCACTGGTTTTCTGTTCTCAACAGCGTCCTGTTTGTTTCTGATGACAATACTCATCCCTTGGACTCCAACCTGGGAGGTGAGAGACACCAACCGAAGCCAGTGCTTAAGCTGTATTCTTCATAATCACACGCACAGCCATGGTCCCACTGCTTTGTCGCTCTTTCAAGCCTTGCCCGGCGCCTGCGAAGAGAGCACAGTCAGTTGGTCGGAGCAAGAAAAGTGGGAGATGTTGAGCAACCGGCTGTTATCATCCAACATACGATAACGACCCTCGTTATTGTTGATCCCATGTTCTCACGAAACAAGAGTAATGCTTTGGTGGTCGAATACAGACAGTTAATTACCATCCGTAGGGCAACGGTGCCAGTTCTTACAACCGGTAAACACTACAAACCACGGCGGTGTACCCTTCCCCTGAGAGAAACAGTCGAATTTCATGGCCGTGTCCACAACTGTCGTACGTTATTGAACACTGCCTTAGCTTCCGACATTCGGGAACTAAGTCTCGATTGTCGGACCACCCTCAAATATGATTGAGCTCCTGATACACTTACAGCTTCCGACTATCTCTAGCTGAACACTAAAAAGGATGAATGCACGTACAGGTGCGCTCCATTCTTTCGTGAGTACTTTGCATTTGGATGGGACGAAGCACTTGTCATAGCGATTGTATCTTCAAACTCTTCCGATTTCACCTTAGTTGGTCGACCAATAGGGTAACCGAAAAACAGCCAGCAAAACTGTTGCAAGACAGTTCAAGGTTACTGGTTGTGAGAACTACATTTAACTGGTTATTTTTTGCCAATATCCCAAAGTCTTTTGTAAGCACTCTTAGATCTTCTAAGAAAAAAATTCTAATCGTACGACTAATTTTCCTTCTGAGCTACCGCAAAACAAAATGATGTGTTTACGTGTTTAAGAACAACGCAAACAAGCAAACATTCGGTGATTAATTGTCACGCAGATACGTAGTTTGTACAAATCATGATGGGGTTGGTTGTTTGGCTGTTTGAAATTTAGAAATGGTTGTGCCAGGCAAATTGGTTAGGGAATTTTGGTGATTGGTTTAAATTAGCTGAAACAAGCGATGCTCAAATCCATATTTGGCAATAACGTTTCAACTTTAATTTGGTTTTCTACAATCAATATCCTAAAAACACGTAATATTTGCGTTAGTGATCGTCAACTACCAGCACACGGATATGCCGGCACACACACATGCATCACATCGCGGTTTCGTTCGTTGTGCTTACTATCATTGCCACTATCGTTGATAATGTACACCAGTTCATAAGTTCTTAAATAACATCCATTCTGCCTATGTGGCACCTGATCGTGAACAAGCATCGTTTTCATTGTGAAAACTTCAACCCCTTTATTGAGAACCGTTGGATGAAATTCAAAATCGTATCGTCGACTTCTTTGGCATTGTCAGCATAAAATATGTGATGTGCTCTCAGCAGCCGGCACTTAGGAGTAGACAACCATTTTTGATCCATCTGTTGGCATTTATTTTGGGTCTGTTTCACAATATTGTTCAATTTTTGCGCTAATAAATTAATTTTTCGGTCGAAAAAATGTGGAAACGACACCTTCTACCGGTGATTCAAGTTAATATTGCACCAAATAATTGCACAATTCCAATTATTAGGGCCTCACCGTGGTGCTAAACTTTGTTCGACTTCTTGGTGCACATTTCTGGTTGATGTTTGTCGAAAGTTTGGAAGGATTGAGAATAACTACGGGCAACGTAAATGAATATGATATCTAACAGTTGTTGATGTCGTTGGAAAAAAACGTTTAACATTGAGAAGAGCAGTGCATGTTGGTGTTGCGTAATCATATTTTCATACATATTTTCATTTTTTCCCTGGTAGCTGATTGGGTGTTGATCGGCATGCTATCATTAAACGAGCAGAGTTCATTTTTCATCGGCTTTCGAAGACCCCTTGAATGTACATAAACCTTCTGAATGTTCACAGATTGATGCCAACTATTGTTTTGATGCATCTCCTTAAGTTTCATCCAAATTTTCATCAAGGTCCGCAATGTGAGACTACCCTTTTGATCTACCTGCCAGGCTGTTATTTGTAGTTGCAGATCAGAAGACTATTTACTCAGTATATATATATATATATATATGATAATAAGTAGTATATGAATGACTGGACAAAATTTCCCTGGAAGTATACGACTTGTTTCGCGGTTGTTGCCACTCGTCAGGCATGCATATCCGGTAATCTTTTGTCAGTTCATTCATATACTTGTGCCCAGGAAATGTATTTTCGTCACAATAACCTTGTCTGCAACACCGGTTAACCACTGAATAGACGGCTCTTTCAGAGCCAGTCCTGTAAAGAATCAATGCTATAATATATGTATATATATATGTATATATATATATATATATATATATATATATATATATATATATGATTGCTATTGAAACGAGGTCATTTTTTGATGGTTGCACTAATCTAAACGCTTTTCAGTACCCTGCTCAGGTCAGCTAATTATTGTTCGTATACCATGTAGCTGGTTGCACCACCTCCAGTTCATGTGATGCTCACATTAACCACCCAGCCCTGTCAGAAACACTGACAGCTACCCGCGGTGTGCGCGCGCGACCGCACACGCGCACACTGGTTTTAACGGTGTCCCACTTCCGTATGCGCCTCGTCGACGGTCGGATTCGATTGGTCGACACAAGAGGTTAGTGAATCCACCTGGACTGGGAAGTATTATGGGTGTAATAACCTGCATCTCATCCGTGCTTACGAACCGTGTTTGTGTGCTTCTTTGTCAAACTGTGTAGCCTGACCGAACGGTTAGAGTGCATTGTAAGCGAGTCCATCAATCCATCGTGCAGCATGTTCTGCGCACTTTTCCTGAAGGTCAAACGTACCCGTACCTTAAAATGCGCAAGAGCAGAACGTTTGCCATCCGTCTTTCTCCTATCACCTCGTCTACTGCAGTTTTTTAATCTTAAATTGTAGACTGCTTATTATACAGTTTCAAATCTGTCCAAATTAGTAAATATTTTTGTGGTAAAACGTGCTTATTTCCTCTGCGACTCGTCTGATTCCCACGCTGTTTGCTTTTATTCACAGATGCGTGGCAACCAGTTTTCAATCTGTATATCCTGATCCGTCCGTCAATGTAACTACCACATTTTGTGATATCAGCGCTGCATCCCCCTACAAACACTCCATGTGTCCTCTACGGGGTTGTTACCAAGCCCTTGTCGGTATCTATGATCGTTTACTGGTCTCAGGTTACTCTCGCCTGAACTTGATTGCTTTATCTGTGCAAAGTGATGTGATATTCGAAGAATTTTTCGTACTTTCTTTATATGATTATTGTTCTGTCAAGATCTGTGATGCGCAAATATTTCTTATTTCCTTTATATTCCAGACTTCGCCTTTTACCGCATAAGGCCTTGTATTTGAGGGTGAACATTGGTGCTGACGGAGTCCTTAGGTAGCATTTACAACGTAGTTAGGAGCGTGACTCGTCTTTTGAACCGTCTTTCACTCGGTTAACATCATGACTGTCTAAACAAGAACGACAATGAGTGTGTGTGTGTGTGTGTGTGTGTGTGGCAACAGATCATGTTGTGATCAAGGTTGGTCCACACATATAAACGAAGTACTAGGCTCTGTGTCTCTGGTGCGATCGCAGTCAAAGTAATCACAATGTATGGACAGAAGCTTCTGGCAATGGGACGAATAGCACTAGTACTGTTCATTGGGTGAATGCACATTGTATTGAAATAATCGGGCGGGGCAGACAGATAGTCTACAGGACCGATTCTTTGTATCATATATGTTTCATACTAATTAGCGTATAAAACGATTCGACAAAATTTCCCTGGTAGCACACGATCTGTTTCGCGGTTCTCGCCGCTCGTCAGGCATGTGTATCTTTTGTCACTTCCTTCGTATACTTGTACCCAGGAAATATTTTCGTCACAA